TAGGATGGTTTACCTGGAGGGAGGGAATAGAAATATTTTCACCAACGTTCAGAGATCATACCTCCATTAGCACTATGAAAGCAGAGATGTAAAAGCGTTATTTGTCTAAATGTCGAAGTACCTGAACACATATTCAGAAAGTTAGAGGAAATATGTGCAGATCTATTAAGACATTAAGTCTTTAAATGTCCTCATATTTCACTAATAGAAAATATTAAATTAATCTTTGTCCTAGTCCAGGTATTCTAACCTATTTCAGTAGACTATTTACAAGAAGATAACATAATAGTAATACAGCTTCACCTCTAACATTCAAATTTATGTTTTCTAGGAATCTTCGTACTTTTAGCCATGATACTTTTTCCTGTGAACATAGAAGAAAATGGCCTGTCTCTAGAATTGGCCTCTGAATGTGGTGGTTCTCTGCAGACACACAGGAAATCTGAGCACACTTACGGGTATTCATATTGGATCATGCTGCTCATTATTCTTCTGAACATTGCTTCTGTCATCATCATCTATTTCTATGAGCACGCACGATATTCTAAGAAGAAAGAACAGCAAAGACCCATTGAAAACGCACCAAAAGATGTCATTCTGTTTTAAGGATACCACTGAAAAGAGGATGTAAAGAAAAAAGACTATTTAATATGGACAATCGTGGCTGATCATTTCCATTCAAATTGAAGCTGTGTATATAGTTCAATTTAAAAAAATACCTTATTTTGTCTTCAAAGCAATTTGATCTTTATGTTAGATATTATTCGTGTAGTACTTTTAAGTTTCCATTGGTAAATGTGCTGCCTAAACACCTCCAAGCAGACATGGCCCAAAGTGCACGATGCCAGAAGCATCCTGTGGGAATGGACCTCACGGACCTTACAGCTCTGCTCTTCCCCGGAGGAATCGCTGTGAAAACCTGCTCCTAGAAGGGTTCCTCCTCTCCGTACCACCACCACCACCTTTCCAAGGGGACTGTTGCCCTCTTGCACAGGCAGCACAGAGGGGCTGGGGTCCCCACCTCCCTTTCTGGATTTTTCTGGACCACAGGACAGACCCATGGTGGCCACCCCAATGTCGGTACCCATAAATGCATTTCTGCTTCACCCTTTGGGGCCAAATGGGAAGATTAGAGACATTGTTCTGGTTGTGTGTGACATTTGGGATCTCAAGGGGCAGAAACAGTGGCAACACCAGGAGCCCTGGAGGTTATAAGAAATGGTCACAAAGGTATTGCTGCTTCATTTTTCCCCCTTACCGCTGTCCTTTCCCTGCCCAAGGATCTTCTCCCCAGGTCCCTCTGGCACTGTACCAGTGACCACGGGCAGGTTTGCAGGCTCCGGTTCCTGGGCAGTAGTGTGAGCACATGGACAAAGTCACTTATCATCACCACCTTCATGCCATCATCATGTCACCTTCACATCAACCCTCCCGATGGCAACAGCACCAACCCCTCTCTGTGCTTCCCTTACTGGGTGCTTCGGTCCATGCTGGAGTGGCAGCCAGGGCAGCAGTGGCAAGACAGCATAGGAGCCCAGCACCTCTAAGTTATTAATTTATAGAAATATTAGCAAAATAGTGTTTCAGGCTATTTATTAACCCTTGATTGCTATCACCAACCAACTGCAAAGCAGCACCTTGAGCAAGCGTGTCCATCCACTTCCCACCCACTACACCACACTGTCACTTTGCTGCGACACAAAAGCCAGATAGTGGCTTTATTAGCCATGATTTATGGCCATACTGTCCCAATGGCCAGTTTAATGAGTATTTAACATGCACACAAAGACACACGGCTGTAGAACCTCAGAGAAGTGGGGAGCTCACCTTCTCCCCCTGCAAGGGAATGCGAGCTGACGAATGTGACCTTGGGACAGATGCTATCGTGCAAAATCATGCTTCATCCACATGCCCCAGGATCAGCACCTTCTGCTCCTTTGCTCCTCACCTCTGCAGCTGGGAGAGCTATTTTTTTCATGGCATCATTTTCCTTTACAATATTGTTTTCACAGTCTTGCTTGATAGCTTTCCTGTGATGCAAGAGATGCTCGTGGGAAAAAAAAAAAAAAAAAGCCTTTCTGAAGAGGGGATGAGACGATACAAGAGGCAACTTCTCACTATTCATGCCAAAAAAATAAAGTTTTGGGTTTAAAGTGGCCAATACTTTCTGCAGCTGTGCTCTTTCAACTGAATGAAAGCCAAGGGCTTTTCCATCCTGCTTAAGGGTTTGACTGAAAGTATGAGGGGAGCAGAGCAGGGGAAAAAAAAAATAAAATGAGGGTTTCCAAGACTTGAGGGGCAGCACAGGTCAAGAAAATAGGAGATGTTATCTGCTCTCCACTGCTGACAAGAACCATGCCTAGAACTGCTTTTCAGCGCTGTAAACATTGCGGTTAAACCCTCAGATGCTGTGCACCCGCGAGCTAGGCTGGCCGAAAGCCAAACAGTTGCCAGTTTTGCTTTGGCTGCAAAAATTTTCACACAGTTTCAGCATGCATCTGTCACTGTTGTGCCCAGCCAGCATCCATCACACGATACAACTACACTTATATCTGGCACTTGCTGGCAGAGAAATAAAGTCGTCATAATAGGATAATACCGGAGGAGCAAGGGCTCCTGCTTTGAAAACCAGTGGCTTACCGTTGCTTGGGCATTTCTGTTGCACTAAAGTACTATTTCCCATGGAAGAGCTGGAATCGTGCAACAGAAATGCCCAAGCAACAAAGTACTATTTCCCATGGAAGAGCTGGAAAAAAGAAAACATTCCCAGTTTTACATGCCTGTTTGAACCACCTGGCTCTGTAAAAACCAGTCTGGAAACCTCCAGGGACCTTGTGCTCGCCTGGTGACGCTATGGCTGCAAAGCGGGAGAGATCCGTGTCACCAGAAAGTCACTGGGGAGCAAGAGCTCACCTGACTTGATGTGAACTGCAGATGGAGATCATTACATCACTTAAAAAAATCGAATTTAAATAGTAGGTAAAGTTGGGGGTGGCTAACAAGGCTACCTTGATACTCTTTGAATGTTTTATTTCAAATTAAAGACAAGACTTTCCTTCTCAAGCTCAAAATCCCAGAATGGTTTGGGTGGGAAGGGACCCTAAAGCCCACCCAGTCCCACCCCCTGCCATGGGCAGGGACACCTCCCACTAGCCCAGGTTGCCCAAAGCCTCATCCAGCCTGGCCTTGAACCCCTCCAGGGATGGGGCATCCACAGCTTCTCTGGGCAACCTGGGCCACTGCCTCACCTCCCGCACAGGAAAACATTTCTTCCCGATATCTCATCTAAATGATCCTCTCTGCCCCATGCTGCATACTTCTCGCTTCATGCAAAGGCGTTGGCTTGGCAGATGTTGCTGGTGGAGATTCAGCAGGCAAATCCTCGGGATGAGCAAACAGGAAGGCAAACAGTCCAGGTATCCGTCTGCTGAATCAAAAGCTCAGTGAGAAGGGATTGTGCATCTGGGTTACAGCCATTTCTGCCAGAGAAAGAATAAAAAAGGGGGAAAAAAAAAAAAAAAGAAGAAAGGATGCGACATAATCCAAGCTTGTATTTAGCTTTTAGGATATCAAAAAGGAATTGGTCTGGCTCTTGCCAACCAGACAGCCTTTGAAATGAATGGAGCTGTGTTCAGTACACTTATCCTCTTAATGAGGACAAATTCTGGCAGTTTACCCTTAGGTAAAAAGGAAGAAAAGCTTGTACTGTCAGCTTGATGCACTCTTGAAAGAAAAATCAAGCTCCCATCTTATCTAAACCCGAGGTAATTTTACACATTCATCACTTGCCAGTAGCTGAAGCGCATTGCTTTTCACCAGGGGCTGTCTGACGAGGTCGAGGGAAGGATCCAGGCTGACACCAGCTGAAAGACGAATCCTCCCGGGGGTGCGTTTCCAGCACCGCATGCACAGAGCCAAGCAGGATCCATTCTGCACACTCCACGCTCTCCGTTTGCAGCGTGCTTGGGAAGCTGGGACTTGCTGCAGCTACTGCAAAGCCCTGCCAGGAGTTTGGCAGCTGGAGAGGAACAAGAGGAGGATTAGCCAGCAAGGCAGCCAGCAGCTCCCCTCTGATGGGCATAAAATGGCTTTTTTCCCCTCTTTTTGTCCCCAAGGGGAAATCCCCTCACTCCCAATCCACCCTGACCCATCCATACCGATTGCTCTGACTAAATAAGCGACTTCTTTTGCTCTGGCTAAATAAATCACTTGGATGCTTCTACTAAACTGATCACGATTGAAATATTTAACAGATTTTTTAAAATAACGATATACAGCATTATTTGGAAATACCTTCCCACCTCCAAAGCTCTGCTTCTTATTTATGCAAGACCTCTTCTAGCTTTACGGTTCACGCAAAAAGTTTCCCACTGGATAAAAGTCACACCGGATTCAACAACTGTAGAAATGCTGAATCAAGGCAGCTTTTTACTTTAAAAACACAGAAGATCCTCAATGCCTGGTAAATTATCAGTTACCTTCATGTTTAGCAGCAGCTGAAAACATTTAATAAGACCCATTGCAAACCTCACAGCAGGCAAACGCAATAATTTTGGATGTAGGCGTATCTACTTGACAGCACGGCAGAAGCTAGTTAACTTCACAATTACAGAAAAAAAAAAAAAAAAAAGAGCCAGCGCAGCTTCGCTGTTACCCACAGGCAAAGAGACTCAGTCGATAAAACCAATCCCTGTCCCCCAGGAGCTATTCTGCTAAAGAGTCAGCCAGCTCCTGCTATTTCAAAACCTCTGCTGGTAGGAGGACTGCCAGAATTAACAATCGATGTTCTAAATCAAGCGCAGTATCGCCGACACAGGAATGATTTTTATTATAGGATTATCAGAGGATTAAAAATAAATATTCCTCTTACAGCCCTGTGGCAGGTTGGGATGATCCTTCGAGCATCCTTTCTCTGAGTGGGACAGCTACTCACACGTAAGGCAGCTCGAGGGATTTTGGCATGGAAATGTACATGATAACTTCAGCCCAGCAGACACGTGAGTGTTTTATTCTCATTGTTCCAGGTTTCCAGTATGCACTGACCGAGCAGCTGTACTTTTTACTGCTCAAGTACCTTCTCTCTCTGTGTTTGTTAACCTGAGCTAAAATTTGAGGTTCTTGGGTAAAGAATTTTGACAATTTTAGCATTGCTGTGAAGCACATAGAGCCCCCAGAAGTCATATCTCAGATGAGTTTCCACCGTTCCAGAGAGAGACAGGTCCCACGTGGAGCACAGGTCAACCAGCGATGGCCAAAGCTTCATGCACAAGAAGCTCCAACACTGCTCCCAACACCAGCCTGAGCGCTTAACAACTTCCTGTGGTATCTTCTGTCCCACACTTGGAACATGGTTTCATCAGGATGGCTTGCTGGCAGTATTTCTACCAGATAAATAATTTCTCCAGGCTCCTTGAAGAGCACGGCATCAGATGTGCTGGGCTTCATGCCGTACCTTGGGGGTGTGCGGTCAGTCTGGAAGGGCCACAAGAACATCCCAGAGAAATCCCTGGTTGGAAAAATTTACTCCAAGGACAGAACCAAAGCTTTTCTCCTCAGTTTAAGTGTCCCCATTCAGGATAATTTTTGTCATTGCTGCTTCTAGGTGA